GGCCGGCCCAGCCCTAACCCACGACACAGGAAAGCTGGGCTTTGTAGGTTCTTGTCCTGTATAAATTATGAAAGCAAAAGCTAATTGTTTACAGTGACAGGGGATCGTTTCAGGCTTCCTATAAACAACTTCATCACCATCACTGTGAAGTTTAAAGTCCAGAGAGAGCGACTCACGATTCAGGCATCCTTTGCAGGGCTGCGGGTAATGGCAGCAAATAAGCACGAGGCCTTAGGCAGAAGGTCACCTACAGCAGGTGCTCACCCTTGGTGGTGTGACTGTTTCTCCCCACCAGCTACGGTTGTGCTTGCACTTTACAGAGGTTAATGTGAATATTACAGCACGGGTACTGTGAAGAAAATAGTGAGCTCCATGTCTGGTTCACAACGCTGCCCTGCAGGCTGCTGTGCTGGTACTACTCAAACAGTGAGTCTGAGCACGTTTGCTCCTGGCCGGTGTTGAGTGGACAGGTCTCCATCCATCAGCCAGACATATGTGTGACATCATAGAATGGCCTAAGCTGGAAGGGACCTTAGAGATCATTTTAATCCAGCCTCCCTGCCGCCAGGGACGCCACCTCTCGACTAGATCAGGCAACACATGGGGACCGAACGGGAATCGAACCCGCGACCTTATATGAAACAGCAGGCTTTGTTTAAACCTGAAACAATAAAGAGACTATGTAATGCTCTAACTGTTGCTCTGACATATAAATGAGTTCTGTTACATGTGAAATCCAAGCAGGGTTTAAACTTTGAAGCATCCAGTCAATCCAGATAACACAGCAAACCATTTCTAGAGACTTATTTAGCTCTCCATCCTTCTCAAAGCAGAGATTGCACTGCAAATTCTGCAAGGGAAGTGGAGTCGTTAGCTGCAAAAATCCAGCCACAGAAAAATGGAACCAGGAATTTTGACAGCACAAGCTGTAGATTTCAGCCAAACACAGAGAACGGTACATATGTGTCATGCCCCAATTTCAGGCCACGTGAAGTTTTAAAGATTGCAATTTAAGGCACTAGTGACAGAATTTATTCAAGTTTTGAGCACAAGTAGAGTATGCCATGCTATATTTCCATTTCCCGAGAATGACACCTTTTATGTCAGAAGTTAGCTAACATATTTTCTTCTAGGCTAGGCTTATTGGTTTGCTTTCATGATGATGTGGAACAAATGGATGCTGCTGTGGCCCGAGCTTTACTTCATCAAATGATTAAATGCAATCAGTTGAGAGGTTTTCAGACTGACGTTCAGAAGGTGGGTACAAAACTCATTTTTCTTCCCTAGCCTAATCCTGAAAGGAGAGGAGGTGGGACTTTTTTTGAATTTGGAAATAAAAGAGTGAAAAATGACTGGGATCTAAGAAATAAGTTGAAATAATTCTTAATCGTATAATGCAAAGAATAAAAGCCTATTTTAGGGTGTTTTTTTTCCACTGTGCTCATTCTTGTCTCATTCTGTTTCCTTCTGTTTCATATTCTTTTGAAAACTGGTTCTATTTTTTTAATTTTTATTAAGTGTGTGTGGTCACTAAATGGTTGTCAATGCCTGTTCCAGAAACTGCAGTTAAAGTTTTGGGTGATAATGGCAAGTTTTTATTTGCCATCTGCTTTTGTTTATTTACTTTAGCTCAAATCTCAGCTCCTGAACATTGCCATGCAAAACCGGACATTGAATGATACCCTTGGGTCTTTGTCAGATGCCGTGGTTGGATTAACTTCAAGTCAGCTGGAATCTTTGTCACCTGAAGCAGTGCATAAGGCTATCACAACATTAAACCAAGTCTCTGGGTGGGCAAAAAGCCAAGTTATGATTTTATCCAGTAAATACCTCTCTTATGAAAAGGTACCTCTGATAATAGCTTTCCTACCTTCTGTTTTCACAAGCAAAATGGCTTTTTCTCAACAATAACTGTAGATTTTGAAAAATTTGGTAGAAAACTTCTTTTTAGTACTATGAATTGTTTTTAGTCTGCAAATTGTGTTTAAATCAAATAAAACCATCCAAGACTGTACCTCTCAAAGTAATTCTCTAGTAACAGAGAGAAAGGCTATTTGCATTTTGCAGTTTTATATATTATTTTATCATATCAATGCCCTAAGCTGAATTTGCACGATCAGAGATCCCAGACTATACATTCAAATAGACTGTAATGGAAGGAATCCTTTCAGAAGTTTCAAAGAAAGGATCCCCTGAGAAAATTGTCGCATTTTTTCCCTAGACAGTCTTGTTTGAATTGCAAGAAATCTGAGGGAAGTGCACGCCCAAGCAAGAGTTGTATTAAGTGTTCAACAACAGTAGTTTTGATTTATTTATTAACTTTTTCTTTTAAATATATCTGCTGTTCACAAGCCAGAAAACTTTCTATTTGTTTTTGCTGTTATCCCTGCAGGTTTTATCATCTTATAATGTTAGTCAAATGGGCGTGTTGATAACTGGTGTTAGCACCCAGGCATTCTACAACATGAACCCAAAGGAGCTTTCTCAGATTATTCAAGGCACAACATCCCAATACTTATCAGACTTATCACCTGCACAACAGCAAGGGATCCTCAGGAAGGTAATTATAAACTCAGTGTGTAGCAGTTTCTCTCTGTACAGGAACACAATAACCAGATATGCAGAGCATGATTTAAAATGTTGTCACTGAAATCTGTGGTTTAGCTCAATGGTTAATATTTCCAGTGTTTTTCCTGAACACAGAGTATATTTTGAAGGCTCTCTTCTGCTTAGTCTGGTGACATTTTTAATACTACATGTTTTTGCTTTATCCTCTTAAGAGAAATATTACACAAGGTAGAAAGAAGGACAAATCCTGTAAATCTAAGCATCAATTCTGAAACGCCATGTATATATCTGTTCCTCTTTTTAGATAGCTGCATCTGGAGATTTTTCTTCATCAGTCAAAGATATACAGGGAGCTTTCTTTAAAGAAATATCTCTTTCTGATTTATGGAAGCAGACCGGGTATAGTTCTTCAATGATGAAAGGAAAAGAACTAAGAAGAAGCCAGGTAAAAATTATTATGCAGTTCCCATTTCCCTGCAATTTAGTATGACGGGAGAATAGGAAAAAGTGTTGAAATATGTCTGTGTTCAAGGAACATAGGTAAAAGGGAAGAACTGCCCCAAATACATGCTGACATAAATATCCAGTGGTCACTTAGAGCCTAGTCAGCTTTTTGAGACGATGTTAGAGAAAGGGAAGCATTTGTATGCTGAATTTAAAATTTCTCAGGATTCTGCCACATTAATTTTCTCTATCCAGTACTGAATACTAGGCATTTGCATATATAATAAGTCCTTTGGCTGTGTCCAGAGAGATGCAAGGTTGGAGCAGATAATCTCCAGAGGTCCTTTAAAACCTAAATTATGCTGTGGTTGTGTGCCATCGACATGTTAAACATCATCCCCTAGTACCAGTCAGTGATGTCTTGTGAAGTTCAGCGCTGGGTGCCAGACGTTTCGGTTGGCCAGACTGGACCATAGAAAAACCTTTAGAGTAAATAAGAGAAATAAACATACAGAAACCATGCAGTAGTTAATTACATCTTGCCTCTGAATTACCTAAGCTTAATTTTAAATGTAGTGGGTTTTGTTTCAGGCTTTGTATCTGTATGAATTACTGTCTGAGAAAAACTATCCTGTTGACCTTCTAAGGTATGGATTATAGTCTCTCTCGAAATGGTGTTTAAGTCTAGTTTTGTGATCGGAGCAACTTTGAGGTAAACATAAACACTTACGTGGTTATTTTGTGCTATCTTACCTTTATTCATTCCTTGGTACCACAGGATAGTTCACCTCCCTCATTAAAAAGAGTCTCCAAATCCAAAACCAGGATCAAAGCATTGCAGAGATTTTTGGTATTTTAAGGGTCAGTGAATATTTTTCAGTCTGATTACAATTTTTCTTTCAAAAGGCTTTGAATTACAATAAATGGGAGAGGTGATCAGGAAATCTGTATCTTAGGACATAGTTGTGGGAAGTAAGGACTAGTTCCTGCTTAAATATTCAAAATACTGAACTTTGCTTTTCCTATCAGCACAGGACAGCTTGTGAAAGGAGTGACTTGTCAACTCATCGAAAGTATGGGCACAGACATTTTTTTAAGCAATTTTAAATTTTTTGAAAACAATCTTCATCTGCTTTCTCCATATCAGGTAAAGCGGAAAAAAAGGCTTTGTACTACCCAATATCCAAACTATAGGTAAAGTAGGATTTGCTTAACTTCAAAATCTTGTATGTGTGAACTTGTCTGTTAACATATTTGAATCTTTTCTGTGTGAATTTGTCTCTTCATTTCGACAATTTCATTTGTCAGTTACAAATTGCAAGAAATTTCTATAGTTCTAATTTGGTTAATTCATGAGTAATCTGTTTGGAAATACACATACATTTAAAAAACATATAAAGGCTTTCATGCACACAAATATAGGACGTTTCATCTCTGAAGTCTGCAAAAAAAACCTCTCAACTTCATTTTAAGAAATGAAGGAAAATGCTCTCTGGTGGTAACATGCAGAGTTTTATATGTGCTAATTTATGAGATGTGGTAAACAAACCATATTTTCACTCTTCCTCAAGATTTCCAAATGTCTAAGATCTTAAATTTCTGTTGCTTTTAGGTTAATTGTTTAGCTTGGAAATTTTGGAAAGTCTCTAATGCATCTATTCCTCCCCTCCTGTTATTGGTGCTTCCGTAAGTTACATCTTACTACATCTTAATTGACTGCATTCATAGCAGTACAGTCCGAGTCGTCCTTCTGAGCACTTTTTAATAACCTCTTCAGTCCTAAGGAAACTGATGGTTCATACTAATGGTAATTTATAAAAAGTGGTCAGTGACTGTAGCCAAACTCTGTGTCAAGTGGAAGTTGGTAATGCCTGATGTCTTTTAGTTTAGCCTATTTTTGTCACAGTTGTGGATTCCTTTGCGTCCTTGCAGTTAGCCTCGCTGGAAGCTCTCTGTGCGTGGGCTGAGTCACAAGGCAGGGGTGTGGCAGCAGCGAAGCTGTTGCTGTTGTCAGCTAAAACAAAGGGGTTAATTCGTTGGGCATTCTTGAGCATAATTGTTTAGAATCACAAAACTAACTTAAATGTAGTTTATGCTGATATTGTTTTTTCTTTGCCTTTTTTTTTTTCCCCCACTAGGTTGTGAGACTTGGTTTGCTTATTTCTTTGGGGTATTTTTTGAGAGTGGATATGTAAGACAAAGCCATTAGGTACTGGTCAAGCATATTACTCTGTATAGTTAAAAACATTTAAGTGTATTTAAAGATGTTTTTTTAAGGTATCAAAACGTGCATTATGTAAATAGCCAAGTAATACACAGTGGCAGCTTCTTCCTCAGGAGAAAAATTGTACCTTGGTGGGAACTCCTGAACTGTACAACTTGTCATTTCCTTTTTCTTTATTTATTTCTTCCCACACACTTAAAAGGAGAAAAGGGAATGAGAACTATTCTTTTCCTGGAATACTTTTAATTGAAAAAAAAGTAAGAGAAGGAAAAACATCACTCTATTTAAAAACAATAAAATAGTAACAAACTTTAATACAAGGTTTTCTACAAGCTGCAGCACCAAATGATTTTGCCATGTTGCTTGTTCAGGGAAGTCACTGGTGCTCTTGGCTAGAAACCCTGGTGAGGCTGGGCTTGTGCAGCTTTGAGATTTGGCTTTATTTGCAAAGGCTGCCTGCCACTCTGCGTCAATAACATCATGTTTAATTTGGCAGGCTTCCTTGGACTTTGCTACAAAGCAAGCCTACTCTACAGTTACTTCTGGTTCTTAACTCACCCATCACATCTTCCTTCATCAGGGAATTATCTCTAATAAAGAGGAGAAAGGGAAAAAGTTTCTAAACTGTAGACATTCTTGTTTCATACGATATTAAAGCATCTCAGAGCACTTTCATCTGCTTGCAGCTAGTTGTAACCCTTAGCTGTTTTTTGAAGCGACATTCATGTCTTGATGATCTGAAAGAAGATGTGAGTTAAAGTAAGATGTAGATTAACTGCAAATTTTCTGACCTGGCCAATTTATAATAATTCAAGTCCAGACTTGTCTCTAAATTTTTCCATTATCACGGATTTTATGGGTGTGGTTTTGGGTGTATGAAGGTCAGGTTTACATTCTACATTCTGAGACCGTTTAAATTCTTTTGGCAGGGTTGAGTACCTGGAGTATGTTTCAGGCCCTTTGTGTGTCCCTTTCATTGAAAGTCTGGGGAGGACTGAGATGGACCTTTTGAATCCAAGCCTTCACAAAAAGAATGCTGTCATGCAAAAAGTACAGGAATGCTTGGTAGGTATGGCTAGGAGGGAGCTGCAAAAGAAGTAATCTGTAATTAGCCACTGACAATTCCAAACAAAATGAGAGTGGCTGATTAGTTTTCTCTCCCTTTATTGTCATGCAGTGCATCAAAAGGTTATCTTGCAGCACACACATGTTCATGGTTTCTTCTATACAGACAACAACCTGAGACACAGGCTCTCCTGCTCTGTGTTTGTGTGGTGAAGCCACAGCTGGTGGCTACTGGGAGCCCAAAAAGCTCATTTCTTTGTTGTCACAATCAAGAGCAGCTTAGACTGTCACCTAGCTCAGAGAAACTCTTAGTGCCAAGGCCCCAGGCAACCTGCTGTAGTTGACCAGCTTTGAGCAGGGAGGGTAGATGGGATGACCTCCAGAGTCCCTTCCAAATTCGGCCATTCTGGGGTTCTGTTTGCACATACTGCTGCACTGCAGTCCTGTAGATCTGTGGGTGGCACAGAACCTCCATGGAAGAGGCAGTGTAACCAAGAGGCTTTTGTGACTTCTGTCTGGGAGCTGTCACCCGTTTTTAGGGGAAACTAGTGCTTTGGTGTAGCTGTGAATATTCATGTCCTTATACATACTAACCAGCTGTATAATTCCCAGTGTTTCAGCAGCGTCTTGAGAAACCCCTTAGAGCTAAGCCTTCTAACAGCAAGAGCTTGTGTCCCCTTTACCATGAGGGCCCATGTGAGGGCCCAGCTGCCAAGCAGAACTGTACCACCTCTGCAAGTGTTGGGTTGCCACCTGGGTATAGAGATCATGGCAGGAGAGTTAGTTTTCATTATTTTTTATGTGCACTTCAATATGGAATAAAGGATGTACTGAAAGGTCTGACAAGTGCTTATTAAATATCACCAGTAGCATTGGTAAAAGCAAAAAGTATAAAGCAGTCTCGGCAGAAATTGTAGATTAAGTTGCCAGTGCAAACTTAATGTTTGTTCTTTATGGTCTTTGTTCCTTAAAGGGTCACAGAGCTTAAATGTGTTGTGATACAGTTGAGTGATACAGGGCAAAAGCCAAGATTAGCTCTGCCAACAAGGTAAATGCTTCTTGTTTCAGAATGGCTCCGTTGCTGATGAATATGATGTTGACCTACTTGGAAATCTAATCTGCCACTTACCACCAGCCTTTCTACATGGCAGAATGTCCCTGAGGGCAATGGCAGCAGCCCTTCATCAATTCAGACTCTGCCAACAGCTCAGCCACGAGCAGAAGACTGAAATTAAATACAAACTCCTCGAGTTATATGGGTAAGGTATTAGATATACCACCTCGCTTGTGCTGTTGGCTGAGCCATGCAAATACCAACCGTTCGCTTTGCCCAGATAGAACTGCAAGGAGAACAACACAAAGCTACTTCTGTCAGTGGCCAAGTTTGGGATCTCTGTCCACTAGAATGAAATTTCTGTTCTTGTGTGTAATGTGATAACTGTGGAACAAAAGACAACCCCAGGGACACCCTGCATGCCTTAAGTCTATTGCCACAATAGTTGAAGCCTTTCTCTCAATATATTGAGAATTCCACTAATGCCCTGAAATGAGAAAGTGCAGTTTGATCTTAATAAGCGTGAATCATCATGTTGGCATAGAAATGTCTGTGTTTCCTATCTAATAAGGTGTAAGAAAAACTCAGAACTTTTAGTATAATTTTGATTGTGAATGTTCTTTATAAATACAATTTTCCAAAATATTTCTTCAGCTCCCCAAACAACTGGACGGCTGAGACAACATTAGATGTTGGACCATTCATTACTCTGCTATCAAAAAGGAAATTGAACATGCTTGCTGAAAAGGTATAGTTTTATTATAATTTTTAAATTTGTAAAAGATAAGGGTGGAGTTTGGATTTGTGAATGTCATAATGCAGTATAAATTATGTAACCTGAATGCTAAACTAGGTAAATAATTATCTTGGCAAGTAATCACATGTTAATATTTCACACATTCTTGGCGCTATCAAAATTTCTGAGAATTCTTCTTGAGAGTAAGGGTAGTATAAACAATCCTTTGCTCATACATGCAATGATAATTATATATCGCTATATAAAAAATGGTGCATTTATAGTGAGTGCAGTCTCAAACAGTTTTAGTACTTTACACCTTGCAGTATTGTTTCCTCCAGTGCTCTGCCTTCCAACCATAAAAGTTACGTTTCTTATCCTGTTTAATATTGGGATTATACTGATCAAATTAGCATTTACTCACGTGGCCCTTTGCCCCAGGACCATCGTAGCACACATAACAATAACTAATAGCTGCTCTGTTGCACTTTGTAGTTTCTTTGCCCTCTTTAGTTCTTTAATTTTTTATGTATAGGTGTAAAATGGAATGAGGAGTTCGTTCTTCAGCAGAAATATGTAAGCACAGTCAGCAACTTTTCCTCAAGAGATAATCCTTATAACTGACCGAATAGAGTAGGACTCTTCAACTGAGAGGAAAGTGTCTAGCAGGATGAAGGAGGGTGAAAAAAAAAAAAAGGTGAACAGGTTAAAGTTATTTCTTATAGTTTAATTGAGCCCCTATCCTCAATTCTTATACTTAACTGGAGAAGTTAGGACAAACAAAACACAGTTCTTTCCATACTGCACATACTAAAACAGTGGGACTCATTGCTATAAGAGGGCCTGGAAATAGACTCCAGTCAGGCAGTGCTCAGGTGTTGCCAGAAGCTGAAAGGGCATACAAAGGGCAGAATCACTCAGAATTTGCTTTGTTTCTAATTTTTTCCTCCTCAAACTTATGCTGTTGACCTTTCAGTAGCAGCCAATTTACTTTCGTCTTCTGAAACATCTGCACAAATAGGAAGGAGGCTGAGCTGTTACTAACACCTACTTTGCTGAGGTCTGCACAAGTCTTTCTTTGCAAAAGTATTTGTTTTTAAAGGGAGAAAGAAGTCTTATTTATTGTTTCTTTCCCTTTGAAGTTCCCCAGTATCATTTTACAAATAGCAAAGACAATTGGACCAATTTCTTCAGCTGAAGATCTTCTATCAACTATATTTGAATCTGTCTCTAATGCCACTGCCAACACCGAATCGTCTCTCGCCAGACCTGGTCAGTATTTCACCTGGTATCTGTGCAAAGTGCCAGATTTACAATGTGCCATCCTGAGCTGTGATGGTGCAGCTCAGACAGACTTTTTGTTTCTCCGTGTCATCAAGTATATTCTGAGAAGCTGGACAATAAAACATAAATCATTGAGTAACTTAGAGGTTCAGACTTCTAGCAAAAACAATGGAAGTCTTCATTCCTGTAGTTACCCGTAGTTGTCTCATGCACTGACCATTTGCTGAAAAACTTCATTTCATTATAGGACTGCGTGGTTAAACATCTCCTGGAATGTTCCTGAGTGCACAAAAGAAAAAGATGACTGATTTGGGGTTGGAGTAGATGATCTTCAGAGATCTCTGCTGACCCCTAACATTCTGTGATTCTGTGATTTGAATTGGAGGATTTTGTTTATTTTTATTTTTGTTTATTTTTACTTTCCTTTGCAATCTAAGTGAAAACACTTGAATTAAAAACCTGTCAAAGTGACAAGTCACTGTTGTGCCAAAAAATCGCACATAGTTCATCCTTTGCCAGACATGAGCATATGTTGACTTGGCTGTTCTTAAATCTGACATTGGTGACACCGTGTTTTGTCTGTCCAAATCGACAAAGTTTTTTATAATCTAAAAGGTATTTTAATTATCAACCAAACTAATCTATTGGAATCTCTGCTGACAAATAGATAATTTTCTTTGTATAAAGGGCACACTTTGACTATATTCTGTTATTACAATAACAGTATTCTTTCTCATACTTGAAATTCACCAGGCAAAATTTTTAAACTAGACCATCCTTTGCCATGGAAAGCAATCCTGCTGTGGGGGAGGCTTTTGCAAAGCACTCCCGGGAATTCAGACCCCAACAATTTCAAGGAGTTTGGTACTGTCTGCCTTTATGTCTTTGAAAATTTCATCAGTGGTTCTCTGCTCAAGAGAATGCAGGTCCAAGCTCTTACCAAGCCCTGAGCCACCATGGAAGTCAATCTGCTTGTGTAACAGCGGTGTGACATCTGAACGATGGCTGTGTGTCTCTGGGAATGAATTTGCTCCTGATGATTCATACACAGAGAGAGACAGGGGATGTTCTACACAGTTGCATTTTTGCGTAGCCTGAAAAACACCCATGACCTCTGTTGATCAGAACAGTCATTACACAATTATGCAGAATCGAGCTGGTGGAATGGTAGAGTATTAATCCATCTGAATGCATGAAGTTTACTCTTCCTTGAAGTAAACTGTCAGATCATAAATAATATTTCTTTAGGCATGATCCACAGGACTAGAGGTTCAGCATCAGGTATTTCAGTATGCTCATGTCCTTCTATGTGCTTTTTTAGGCCTCTGGATCACAATGTGAATCCCAAAGACTTCTCTAATTTGACTAAGTCATATTCAGTGCACTCGCAGAATGGTCTCATCTGCATTGCAAGACCAGAATAAACCTGCCAGTGAAGCTAACGGTCTTTGTCAAAGGACAACTGGGCTCCAAGGCTGTGGAGGCTTTTAATTCTTCATTTGGGGTACATGAGCTCAGCTGAGAGGAGAGTCTGAGAGATTAAAAATTTTAAGATTGTTTGTGCTAGTCTAAGAAATACTTCTGCAATCAAGTATTGTATTGAAATTCTGTTACCAAACATAATCTCATCAACTTCACACAACTCACACAGTGGTTTCAGTAAGGAATGAATTTTTGTGGCTGATTTGTGAATCACTAGAAAATTGGTTATTATGAAAATGGCTCTAGAATAACACTGATGCTCTTCATGCTACGTGCTATTTTACATTTCCCATGGTCCACTTACCACTTACTGGTGACGGAGTTCTTCCATCTCTGTCTACATCAAGATAAAAATGAAAGTGGTGCTTAAGGTTAGATGTCCAAGATGCTACCAGAAAGCAGTGTCATTGCTGGAAATAGAATTCAAGTTGCTTACCCCAAGCACTAAGATATAATTCATATATAATATATATATATACGGTATATATTATATACCGTATATATACGGTGTGTATATATATAATACGTTCTTCATCAAACTAAATGTGATTATGCAGCAAAAGGAAGAGTGAAGTAGCATCAGATACAGGAAGCAAAGTCAGGAGTCTAATTAGTATTTCCCTCTGTAATCATGTCAATGTATCTGGTGTGTTACAAATAGTAAAATCAATGTTTTTTCCAAGAACACAAAATATTAGGTTTTCATGACTTGGAGAAGGGAACTGCATTGTGTCTGGATGAGTAGTATTTACATGATAAAAGCTGACCTTTTGCAGCAGGGGAAAGTGAAACAATGCAGCTTCACAAGAGGGCGGTGAAAAGGGAGAGCAGAGCATCAGCTGGTACAGTGGAAGCTGAACAACGTTTTCGTTTGCTCAACAGATTCAGTCTTTTCAGTGTTCTACCCACTACTGCAGCTTCCTTTGATGCAAACAAATCCCTCCTTTGCCTCCTTTCAAAGTACAAATCTACTTTGTACGTTCTCGCTTTAATTTATTTATCTGGGGGAGCTTAGTTCGGGCGCAGCATCTGTGAAATTCCTGCTTTTTACTGGTAATGACCGTATCTGAAGACATGTAGGGATTCTTTGTTTTAGATAATTATTTAATAAGATTTTCTTAAATTAGTGACAGGAGAGAGAGCAGTAAGCAACCACATTAGGATTCTATTTTCTGCTTTCCATCAATATTAAAGGTAGGTTATGCCAACGAAGACTAGGATTTGTTAAAACACAATGGAAACTGTCTTGTTGGATCATACATAGGGCCAGAACCTGACCATAAATAAGATTTTTAAAGGGAATGTTTCTGTCCAAACAGTTCTGTTGTAAGTGAACAGTCCTCTCTAGATCCTGATGTTTTAACAACATGCTTGCCATAAAGAAGCACCATGCTTCTCTGACATATCCAGCTTCTCTCTTCACCTTGTTTAAATGTCAGGGAAGTCTTACAAGACATACATCTTTGTCAGGGGGTGTCGGAGTAAAAGGACCTCTCACTTCTGTTACTTACCTGTTGAGCTGGAGTCACACATGTACTGTTTGAATGTGGAGAAGTTTATTTAGCTGCAACACGTTTTTGTGAGCAATGACACAGCTGCATGGAGACTTCCACTGAGGACATCCCCAAGATTTGCATTTCATTCGTACTCAAGAAAGGCTTCCAGTGAACGGTGGGTTTACCTCGAAATAAGCCCTTGCCTGCCTTCTCATGCCTTAAGGTCAATAGACTTCAAAGAAACTTGCAAGATACTGGTTACTCTTAATGCACACATCAAGATTTTAGTTTTATTGTGGCATCCTATATTGTACCAGTTCTGAAATATATGTCTGCTGCTATTTTCTTTTCCAGTATGTGTTGCCTTTAGAGGACAAAGAATACAGCATTTCTTGCAAGTTAGGTGAATTCTAGTTTTCTATCCAGGATGTTAACAGTGTAAATGTTTAACGCAGTTATTTTATTGCAAGATAATTAATTTACCATTATTACATCTGATGCAGTTAATGTATAGTCTGTCACCCTCTTAAATCTCTATATTGCTTGGATTTCTTTTCTTCGGTGTTTTTGAAGAAAATTCTTACTATTTGACCTTTTTTCCAGATTGCCTGGGAACCAGAGCTTCTTCTTCAGATGAAATTATTAAATTAGCAGAAGCAAATGTCTTTTGGTCAGTTCACGAACTGAAATGCATGGACGCGGGGACTTTTGACAAAAATGTGGAACTTCTTGGGACTGTCTCAGGTTTTAACAGCTCCCAGCTTATTGCCTTGAAGGAAAAAGCCACGCAGGTAACTCGTTTCTGTGAAGGAAAATTAAATCCATAATTTGACTTGCTGTTATTGAACTATGCAGTTCTAAAATAACTGTGCTATGGCAATGTCATTACTGCTGCAAGAATACCTATTATTTATTGGGAAAATAGTGTGAGATCGTGATAGAAGACTATTGCCCTTGCTTCAGAGTCAATAGACAAGTAGTTCTGAACTACTGGCAGCTGAAAAACTTAAGTGCTTTTACTTTTGAATTGTTTTTCAGTTGCTTGCTTCTCAGTTCTCTTTCACAGATGAAAAATCATCAAGCAGTACTGTAGGCTGTAGATTGGCCTGCTGAGACTTTAGCTCAGAGAGTTAAGCTGTCTACCTCAACATTAAATATAATCTACAGTGGTGTAAAACCAGACTGACTGAAAGAGACTGTTATTAGCTGAATAAAGCTTATTATCCCTTCTTGCCACAGGCAGGGACAATCCCATCAGTGCAAAATTTTAGGGAGAAAAAAACCCGCATGCATTTAGTTTGTCTTTACGAGGATGTTACTAGCGAGTGCCTGTTACAGAAACACAGCAGAGAGGAGACCTCTGTCTTTGCCAGGCTGTAGATTCATTGAGAGGAACGGGGCTATAATCTCAGCTCTTAACACCATTCTTGCAGAGCTGCTGCTGGCACCTCTGTCTCTCAAAGTGCAGCAGTGCAGCTCCTCTTGAGCCCCTCAGAGAGGTCTCTGCTCTGGGCTCAGTCCATATGTGATGTCCGTGCTGCTGCTGCAGCATGAGAGGCTGAGACTGAAACTTCTCCCTGTCTGGCACTGCAGTGCAGATTCTGTGCCAGAGCGCTCAGGACAGGGTGCTGTACTGGGTGCAGTTCAGCGTGCTGTGGCTGGGGCACAGCATCAACAAGGTGTCTGGGCTCCAAGCAGCGCTGCCTTTGCCAGCTGAGGGCTGAGAGAGAAGTCAAACCTTGCTCCATCCCTGCTCTCAGTGCGGCACTCCTCCCTGGGGGTGCCCTCCTCTTGCTCCTTTGTGGTTGCCTGCATTGCCAGGAAACAGGTAGTGTCCCAAAAATGCCTGTTTCAGCAAGGTAAAGCCTTAGGGTGCAGTAAAAGAAGTTGCTCTGGTTGCAGAACACCCAGATATGAAGACGTTACCATCCCCAATCTGTCTTCAGCTTCCTGTCACCAGCATCTGCTGGAGGTATCCACTCTCTGCTTCCATCTCTGCATGGCTAGTTGCTCTGTACTCCCATTCTGTCAATGATCCAGTGTTTTAAAAGTACTTTTTAAGCTCCATCGGATCATTCTGACAGAAGGAGGTTAGGAAGCATCTCCAAGTGCAGTTGGCGGCAAGTACAAGTGCAGATGCTTGGAGATCTGAGGGCTGTGACCTCTGAAGGAAAGCAGGAGCAGGAGACAAGGTAACCTGGACAGCATCTTCTTAAATCAACAGCTGCAGACAAAGTAGTGGAGCTAACCATAACTTATGGATAGATACAGCCAACAGTGCAGATTTTAAGCAGGAAAGTTCACCTTTTAAAACTCTGAACTGCAGGTGCTTGAAGAGAAGTGGCACTAAACAGATTTCCAGAAGCAGATGGCGAGTCTCTGCAATTCTGTCTCCGCTGCCTTGTTGCAGCAGGACCACAGGCCACTGCATCAAATGCATTCTTCGCAAGACAGCTTCCCTCTGTCAGCACAGACACATGTAGTTAGGAAAAGAGAAGAAAAAAGTAATCCTAGAAGAAATAAAACCAGTGCTCATCTGAGACAGTGGGAACTAAAATATTTTACAGCGGTGCAGCATAATGATATACTTACAGAGTGCTATCCATTGTACAGAATATGCCAGCAAAATTAATACACTCATATCCGTGCTACCTTCATTTCAAAGGTACAGAGATCAGTAGTGTGCTGAATGAAAGTATGTTCTGTCAATGTGTTTGTAAGACAGCTTGCTGCTAGACTTCCTATATATTAATTTACAAAATGCAACGTGATGTCACCCTGAACGTGAAGCATGAGAAATCAGACAGTGCAGGCAAAGCTCTTCGAAATTATGTGCATAAGATGCTGTTATGTTATGTTATTAACTAAAGGGCATCTTTGATTAAAGGTTTGATTAAGCCAGCTTTAATTTCTCCTAAACTGATTTCCCCTAAAAGAAACTGCCGACTACTCATGGTCCCAAACTAATTCAAAAAGTCTAGCTATCAGATTGTGTCTTGATGAAAGTAAGAAGCTTAGCTCACTTGTAAGTGGAAGGTCTCCAGGCTCTGTGATAGTAACAGATGTATCTGTAGTCTGTAGGTGAATGAGGACAAAGGAGTGTTTCTGTTTCATGTGTTGTGTTATTTATATCATTATATCTGAGATTTCATCCAGCACTGTCAGATAATGCTGTTTCTGAAGTACTTCAGATTCTGTAGTTTGTGACCTAGATCAGAAAATAGACACATGATATTTTTAACTGCATGTATTTTGTGTATCTCTTAAGCTAGAGAATTAAGAGCTTTAAAATTGGGCTGATGCTTTTTACTACCTATTTTCCTTGGGGAAAAAATGACATTTCCCAGGCTTAGACCCTTTTTCTGTTTCTTTATGACATTGTAAAACCAACAAAAAAGATCCAATGGAGAGGTACAGGTCCAGCAAAACATCTCTTAAACAAATCCTTAACCTGAGTGTCATAGTTGAGAAAGGCACCTTGGCAGTCCTAAGGCTAGTCCATGTTGGATATGCACGTTGGTGTGAGCAGCAGATGGACTGCAACTCTGTATAAGGAATATCTTATTCCAGAGATCTGGCCCTTTACTTTATGCAGATTATACAGCTTCATACGTATCTGAAGGTGCAAATGCTGTTTAGTGAGCAACTGCAGAGATACTCCTTCCGCAAGTCCTTACTAGCTTTGACCTTTCTAATTATTTGAACTAAAGTTAAATTGTAGCTATCCTGAAAATGGAATAAATGAATAAGACAGTGCTGAACAATCAACTTAGCCCAGGTCAGGTCTTCTAGTTTTATTTTTCTATGTGGAGTTAGCAGCACAATCATGGACTACAAAACTGACATGTATAGACTGCCATAAAGCAAAGTTGCTGAGGTACATGAGACCTTTAAGGGGAGGTTTGGTTTTGTTTGTTTTAGTGTAAGCCTGTCAAGTTAAAGTGACTTTCTCCAGCCAAAACCCAGTGTCTTTTTTTCTGTAAAGGCAATTGGCCTCATCTTGAAAGATACTGACTTCTGTCTTCTGTCATTTCCAGCTAAATGTAATTGACAGTTCTATCCTCTGCAAATTCAGCTTTTGATGGACTTTCATTATCCCTTACTCAGACCTTGTCCTGAAATCAGAGATGTGCTTTGGGTATTGGGATCTGAGAATGGTATATGTAGAGGAAGATTCATAATGATCTAACAAGCATTAATGAATCTCTGCTAAAGGTTTGGGGATCGCTGCCAGACTGGAAGAGTTACCATATTGCTTCCCTGGGCCGCATTGCTCTGGCCCTCACTGAACATGAAATCAAAGAGCTGGATTTGCATTCTGTCGACACCATTTCTGCCCTTAGCCAGCAAACAGAATGGACTCTTACCCAGGTAGGTATGTTATTGAATGTACTCCTGGTGAAAGGCTCTGGATTCCCACCCTTTGGGACTGAATCGCCTGGAAGTGGAAGCAGCAATCCGCGCTACTCCCTGCTGCTTTTCTGTGGCCGTGACCCCAGTGAAAGGGGGCAGGTAAGTCAGCACTGACATTTGCCTGGCTGCTGGCTTCCCTGCCGAGATGGCCAGCTGTTAGTTGTGGTGGTGATGAGTGTATTCTTCAGCAATTGCCCAACAAGTACTAGAAAGATTGTGTGTGAAAGAGGTCACCAGCTCCTCTGACACTGCCCCCAGATTAGATACTGCTGCTGAGATACTAGCCCTTCCTGAGAGTAATCACTGAGGAGGTATTGTGCCCCCGAATCCCAGAATCCATTGCCCTAGAAACTTAAATTGTTAGCAGATACACTCCTCTCACCTTCCTTTCCCTGAATAACTTCTAGTTATGTCAATGGGACTTTCATAATTAGAATTAAAAGCATTTATTTGCATATGCGATTGGCAGCATATTTCTGACTCTGTGACCCATACCATCAGGGCTCCTTGGTTGCACAGCTGCTGGCATGGTGGCAGTCAGCTTTGGCAGAAGATCACAAATCTGTTTAATAGATTCTTTTTCTGAAAAGCACCATCAGAAGGAAGGACTTGGGAGCATTTTGTACAATACTAGCTGGCTTTTGAAGTTTTCCTGCTGTCAGTAAGAATAGCTAGTTAAAAGAGACTCATCCTGCCTAACTTCAGTTGTCTAGAAGGCAGCTAGTTTAAGATAATCATTTGAGGCTCAGCATTATGGATAGATTAGGAAATCTTGGGAGTTGCTAGTTTCTTTTGCTGTCTTTGGAGGATGCCTTAGTGGCAGGCTTAAGCTAGACACACAGTTTTTAAATGGTTAGTTTAGGATGAGCACCATCCTAAATGACTTAGGCTTGCAAAGGCATTTTGATACTGATATTCCATTCATATCTGAAAATCACTCCTAAACACAGGTCACCATCTATATACAACACTTAAATAAGATAAAACAATGAGTACTGGAAAAACTAAAAATGTCATATTGATCCCCTTGAGCAATTTATGTTTTCTTCTAGCAAGTCATTTGAACTGGGCAGCTCTGCTGGGCAGCTCAACCCCTGTTTCTTCTGGTGGAGCATTCCCCTTGTGACTTGGCAGAAGAGGTGCAGAGAGCTTTCAAACCACTTGCACTTGGGAAGTGGTTGTGCAACAGTGCCCTGTTTCAGTGTCACATATAGGTGGTGACAGTGCTCCTCCCGAAGGCCAGGGCAAAACTCCAATTAATTACACTGGGAGGCTTGGGATTATATATGGTCCGTAGCTTCTTGTAAGATCTTGAGCTTCTACTGACAAAAACTTCAGTTATATTTACTCTGTTCATGCATAATATCTTACTGCTTTTGTAGGCAAGATCTATTCTGCAAGGTTTTCTAGAAGACTCTGGCCAGACGATCAGTACACTAAAAAGCTTTGATTTAGTTGGATTAGGAGCGATTCTCTGTGCTTTGAACTCCACAGAAATCATGTCCATACAGACTGCTGAATTCAGGTACTGCATTTAATACTTAATGAAATATTTATTAGTATTTCTGTAGATAAAATTTACTGTGCAGTTTGTTTTCCTTCAAGATTTCTGAAGCCTAAAGGATACTTCTGTACATTTTAAATGCTTTTAGAAAGAAAATAACTGTTGTGGAAGGTGTACACTAATTGTTGAATGTATATTCTATTTTAGGTTTCCTCTGTCGTTTATATCCCAACATTTAAGTATTACATTGAGAAACCCAAGGTTTTGCTCAAAGCATTAAACATTTGTATGCAATTTCTATATACATATTTTAAATTTAAAATAGGTTTATGTCTCCTTACAGCAGACTATATATTCCAGGCGTATTTAGTGGTGCATGTAATTGCAGCATGTAACGTTAACCTTGTTGCCTTTTGCAGTGCTGCAGTTGCAAGAATTGGCCTGTTGTTTTGTAGCACCCCTGTTCTGAGGCAGTTTAAGAAGATGACAGAATCTGTGTTTGGTACTGCTGCTAGCTGGAACGCCTCTATTTTACAGGAGATAGGTACTATAGCAGGTAACAAAATTCAGACTCCAGATGGTGATGGTTCTAAAGCATTATTATTAAGCATTAAGAAAGAGGTTCACGTAGCAGTGCATTTTTCTAGAGTGGCAAAAGACATTTCTTCCAGAGAGGAATCACCTGCAGGGATGGACATCCAGCATTTTCATTAGCACTAAGGAGAAGTCGTGGTATTCTCTGTAAGGTCTCTGAATCTGGTCAAACCAACCCTGGAAGCACAGCCTGAAGTCATTTGTGTCATGTAAGTTGGACAGGTTAAATCAAGTAGGGCAAAACTGACTAGGATTTCAGACCAGCTCGCTGTTTGTGAACTGTGCTGCTACAAGTGTGGATGTATTGGGTCAGAGCAGTGCTCTAGCTGACCGGGCGTCCTGCCTCCAACAGTGGAAAGAATGGGCTGCCCAGGGAAGAGCGAAAGAACAGGGTTAGCCAAAGTGCTCTCACAGCCTCGGAGACTCCTTAAGCCAGAGATCACATACAATTTTGTTCATGGATTCTTTTTCCTGTGGTTGTTTAACTGCACATTGAACTCAGAAATTTTAGCATCCTCGATGTCTGCGGCAATCATTTCACACTGTAAGTACTGAATGGGTGAAGAAGTAACTCCCATTGCACACTTATGCTCCCTAATCTTGTATCAGAAGAGGCTGTGAACAAGCATTCCCTAATAACACTGTGTATGATTTTAGTGATTTTTATTGTTGTCTCTTTTCCAAGATAAAGTAACTCAGGTAGAGTACATTCCATACCAGTGGCTAAGGTCAGATGATTTGTGATGTTGGAATATAATGAAACAAACTCCATAATGCACTGGCATAAACCATTTATTAAATATTTTCTATAAATGCTTAAAATTTGTATTAGCCTAAAAAAAAATCTAATAAAATGAATATTAACTGAGTTTTGTTCTTGTTGTTTGGTTGGGTGTTTTTTAGGTGGTTTGAATGAAGATGAATTAAAAGCTTTTGATAAAAACTTGATGCCATATTTGCAGCCAATAGCAATAAGATGTATCCCTCCTGAAATTTTCCAAGTAAGAGCTCAATTACTGAAGAAGTAACCAAATTGCTAGTATTTCTACTCTAGTATAAATAACCTGCAGCACTGATTTATAGTTTCGTTTTGGGTTTCAGCAAAAATTTTTCTACAGTGTGTTGAGAGACAGTCAAGAATCTGAACAATTAACTTCCAGCTATATCATCTGTGTTTGTCATGTCCATAAAGTATACTAGACAAGCTTATTTATTCTTCAGAATGTGTCCCAAGGAAAAAGCAAAGATCTAGGGTCAGAAAGCAGGGAATGGAATCTCTTTCTTCCAAAACTGTGTTCAAATTTGAGTTTTCTTCTCTGTTTATTAAGAGTCGCAAGGATGCTATTATATCTACAAATTTCTCTGCTCTGTAAGAGATTTTTTTATTATCCTAAAATCTGGCAACATTCTCCTGGGTTAGCTCTGAAAAACAGATTGTACAGGCAGATACAGATTGGAAAAGAATTACATCTAATTACAGCAGTTCTGAATGTGGACCAGAAATTAGAACGTGGATCTTGACATCATTGGCCCAGCCTTTATTTGACTTTGTGACAAGATTAATATTCTGCCTAGGCTGGTCTCTTTCAGATGCTTGGGCAAGCAAGAGCCAAGCAGATAGTTAACAGTGTCAGCGTTCATCAAAGAGAAAGACTCCTTGAACACTGTTCTGCACAGTACCACTGACAGTTTAGATAAGCCCGAAATGTCCTTAGTGAAACTGTTTCTTTGAAAAGCAGGCAAAACTGAAGATCTAAAGCATCTTGTAGGATTTCTTTCAAATAGCATACATTTTTGTTAGTAAGAATAGTAATGATACTACAAAATGTGCTAAACAAGTAATAGGATACCTTCTCAGAAGAGTTTGTATTTGAAAGGTTCAAAGCAAACTTTGTTTTACATGGGTTTTGAATAACTTCAATTTACAGCTGCATACATTATTCAGATTTTGATTTATGAAAAATTAAGTTTTATTATGGAATTTAGAAGAATTGGGAAGAGTTTACTCCATTGTCTGATGTACTTGGAAGGAGAATTTATTCTTTCTAAAGTAGAACCTGAATGCAGAATTGCTGCGGTAAAGAAGGCTTGTTGTGTAGGAGGGCTAAAATTCTTGTGGCTGCAAAATGTTAACTAAAATCAAAACTAGAATCAAAGCAGTGATTCAATCCAGCATGCCCAGTACATGCAGCCTTTACAAACTGGCTAATTGTTATGTCATGTAATTACTGTAAGATTATGATCAACACATTTAATTTTTAAACACAAGTTTTAATATGACCAAACTTGAAAGATTTTCAATCTAAGAGAAAATTGAATAATGAGGTTAAAACATGGGGGTATATTTCATCTCACTGCCCTACTGCTAACCATAATCAAAGGTCAAACATAGGTTCAAGTGAGGTTGCTTGGGAGCAGATGTAAGAGGAAATAGATGAAAACACAAGAGGATGCATGGCATCATCAGTCTTTCAACAAATCAGAAAAGAAATGGCTGGAAAAATTAAACTCCAGCAACATTTTGGAGCAGTGTCCAAATGGACAGAAAGCACAGGAAGCTTCTCAAGCTGTCAGATTGCAGCAGCAAAGAGAAGGGTAAAAGAGAAATGAGTGGTTAGTGAAGTAAATGAATGTGGAGGAATTTTTTTAAGCTCTTTTGAGGTCTTCCCTAGCAACACAATGCTAAAGGCTACTTCCCCTCATTTCAAATCGGAGACAGTGCTGACTTCTGATTCCTTACCTGCTTTATGTAATTGACAGTCTAAACCAATTTTTCTGGCTTTTACTCCTCCTAGGCATTGTCCCCAGAACAAATAGCAAACCTGGGCCCTGAAAATGCCGCCATGGTTACCAGATTGCAGCGTGAGCATCTGAATGCGTCACAGCTCCAGAGCCTTCAGCTGGCGCTGGACGGAGCCAGGACTAGCGCCCCTGAGACGCAAAACGGTGCAAGCCCTACCCAGGCAGTGCAAACCCCAGCTGCAAGTGGTGAGCAGTTACCCCCTGCTTCTGCTTCGAGGGGGAGGACATACACATTAGTGGGGCCCATGGTTTTGCAGCTTGCACCAGGATCAGACCTGTAACTTGAAGGCTGGTTTCTTTTTAACTCATGCCTCAAATCGTGTGCCTGACCAAGATGAACAAGGATTTTGTTGGATTTACTCACGACGAGAGATGATGGAAGAAGATTGTCAGATGGCATTAGCAGCTAATTACACTATGCTAAGTACTAGCTTGTGTAAAGTGTAGTCTGAAACTGTAAGCTTTTCCTTCTCCTTCTCTGCCATATTCTTTAGCTAATTTTAAGACAGGGCTCTCCATCTCTGGACATTCAGATCACAACCTTTATCTGGAGCAGAACCCTGTCTGCAGAGATGCAAGTGGGAAGGGAGGTAGCACTGGGGTGGATTAGCATCTTTGCCCAGAGTGAAGGACCCCTTGAACAGTTTTTCTTGCTGTTCCCATCCTGTTTGGAATTAAGGCCTATGCTTTGGTGGTTTAACATTTTACTTCGCCATATTGCAGTTTGTGCTGGCACGTATGTTAATGGACATTTTACACTGAGTGAAAGTTTGTGCATAGGCAAGTCAGTGTTGAGAACTTAGCCTTATCAGACAGCAAATACGGTTGCTTCCAGTGACACCAGCACAACATAAGCGCTGAAGAAGAGAGAGGGGTGTTGAGATGCTAAAATAGGAGTAAGGGAGACTTAGTTGCTATGATGGCTGTGCTGGAAGTAGAGTAGATCTTCCCAGAACCACCTGAGTGGTGCTCTCAACCCGGCTTCTGCGCACGTGTGACCTGTTCGTTGTGTAGATATGCCGAAGAGACAAGTTTCCTTGGTAAACGTCACCTGAGTTCTTGAGGTTCTCGTTCACTATTCCTATCTCTAGTAAGTACCCCCCTATGAAATGCTTCCCTTCAGAGCTGTGTATGTTAAACTGGAAGTGACCATTCTGGCTGGTGTTGTCCTCTGAGCAGCTGAATATAGTTAGAATTCAAATATTGGGATTTGCTGCACCTCTTTAGGGTGGTGTAGATAAGACTGTACTAGACCTGAAGTGTATTGTGACACTAAGGCATTGTGCTTTCTGCTTTTCAGGTGCTCCTTGTTTGAGTGGCTTCAGCTTCTGTTCATGTGCTGTGTTTATGCTGCACCTGCCTTTCTGAATCCATGACTGTTAAGCTTGACGTAAGTTCTGTTTTCAGGAAGAGGTAGCTTTATAACAGAAACATAGTTCACCTGTAACAGTGATGGCTTAGCAGTAGCAGCACAGGGTAAAGGGCTGTGGGACCCTCTTTCTACTCTGAATACAGAGGTAACAATTTCTGAATATTTTTTTCTGTGTTACAAAGGTGTCTTGTACTTCTGTTAAATCTAATCTCTGGAATCTAATCAAGGGCAGGGCACTTAATCTTATCTTTACTGTAAAGCCAACCTTAACAAAAGTATATTTAAAATTCCATGTAACACCAACCTGTTACTGCATTGTTATTTGGAACACGTTGTTGGTATTTATCTGTTCCAGTCTATTGATAAGATTTTATTCCAAAACCGCTTTGATAATCTCCAGTTCAAAAAACATTACCATTAACTTTCATTGGATTTTACCTTTTCGACAGGCTAAAATGTAACAATGTAAAAATGTGTAATGATGTTCTTAAGGTATAAATTCCAATTAAGTAAACTAAATGCTTAAGTGTTCTACTTAGTCTTTAAGATTGCAAATCAAGATATGTCAAAAGACTTAATATTTTTCTTTGCCCCAGAGCTTACAAAGGAGATGCTAAAGAGCTGCAGCTCAGCATGAATTGTGGAATCAAGAGGCTCTGAGATGCCTGAGTGCAAAGTGGTTAATTTCTTAAAAGCAACACCTTCATCTGCCATCATGATGTGAAGTATCCCTTTTCCCTACCTTTACCATTACAGGATCCCTCCAATTACTTCAGACAAATTTTAAAACTCAAAATGGCTTATCTGTCTCATGAGAATATCACTGAAAGGTGTGCTTACGTGTTAGGGAGGAGCTGGAGGGATGGCAGCAGGCAAATGTTATTTGGAGGCTTCTCTTGCACCCAGTGCTTTTTACGTTGGCTAATCTGGTTGCACTGTTGTATCCATCTGCCTGCTTTTCGTCTTATACTTTGAGTGTACATTCCTCTGGACAGAGGCTGTCCTTTTGTATGACGTAGTAGAAACTGTACTAAAAGTTACTGCTGTTGCAATAAAATAACTTCATCTGCTGGTTTAAATCCTGCTCAAGTGAGAAGTGATGACGTGTTCTTATAATTAAAGCACCTGTACGAAATGTAGTTCCCCGCGGCCATATGCATTCAGCACAGAACTGCTGACCCAAAGGGCATTGGCAAGACTAGTAGTATTTCATGGGACAAAATGCACCATGAAAACCTGCTCATGTTCATCATGAGATAGTCCCTTCACTTTAGGTGAAGCATACACCTGGGAATCGTAAGGGAAAACTGGTCACTGGGCCTACATACTACTAGGACTGTTAATCCAGTACTTTCCTCAAGCTCTGTAATAGCTATTTTCTCATAATTATAAACCACAAATATTTTCATGCATTTTATTAACATGTAACTTAGATGTCTAATGTTTTTCACGCCACGCCTCAGTATTTTAAACAATGGAAAAAATATTGCTCTGCATGTAAACATGCATTTTCACATCATTCAACATGATTTTATACCAAGAATGCATGGTAGTCTTCCATTTTGCTATTGCAAAATTCTTTTATCTTTTCTAGACTAAAAAAGTCAATGCATATACTTAGAAAGTTTAGCTTTTCCATTTAGGGCCATACTGTAGTAAAAGCCTTTCAAACTTTTATTTGTATTTCTTTGTGGCAAACATTACATCTAGCTTCTCAGCACTCAAAGCAGAACTGAAATTTGACTACAGGTGGGGAAGCAATAGCAGAGCTGAGAGGGAGAGCTGGAGGGAAGATTCTTGCTGCTTTTGCTGCTGCTGCTGTTGGGAATAACATCTCCTACCACAGTTCTGTATATTCTGTAATTCCTGCAGCAGCAGGAGCCAACCTGACTTGCAGGGCTTTCTTACTGGCAAAGCAGGTGGGGAGAGCACGGTCGTTTTTCATCCCCTCCTCTTCCCTCTACCCCTTCAGCAACTGGCTGCTCTTTGGAGGAACTGCCTTTGCCTGTGACTCAGCCTGGCAAGCGTGACATGATGTTACAGGTGACGCTGCATGCTTTAGTCTTGCGTTTTATGAGCAAGAACTACTATTGCTTCAAACTGCCTTGGACCTTCTTCTCTAATGCTAACAGTAAGAGTCCAGCTTTTCCTGCTGCATTTCCTTTTTTGCATATAAACATTAGATTGCGACATTTATTTAAATAGAAATAAAAATGTTTTATCTATGCCAGGAAATACATGCAGATACCACTGTAATCAAGAAATGCTTCAATGGATCAAATACATTATAAAGCTTTATCTATTTTTTTTCACATTAAAAAGTTCTGCCTCATTTAGATGTGAAAGTAACTAAAAGGTTGCTTGATTTCTAGAAATTGCCTGACTTCAATTTTGTGTGCACTTCAGTGAAGATGCAGGAGAATATTTTCATAGTCAAGACAACAGTCAGCACTTCCAGTTCGGCTGCTTAAGTCAGAGACGTGACTTAGCTATCCCAAGCACTTCAAAAATCTATATGAGCTGAAAATCATCTTCTTCTGTCAATGTACCTGGGAGTGATTCCATCTGAAATTATGTGAGTCAGAGTTTAGCTTTTAATTGGAGCAGGAATCAGCCCTTTGTTTTGTGCCATCTGTGCTGTAATTTCTTTCAAGCACAAGTGCTTTTACATAGCTGAACTCCTTGATTATTTATTTATTTTATTAAATCAATAATTATGTTAATAACTGGCATTACATTTACGTTTGGTCAAAGACATCTATTTTTTACAAGAGTGCTGTAGGAAGGGTAAATGTGGAGCACCCACTTAATGTACTTATTTCACGGTGAGATTACAAATCCTGTTTGGTTCATAAGATGGTATGAGCTTCATGGATGGCGAGTATTGTAGAAAAACAATTTTAATTTTGCCAGTGTAACTCTTGTAAAGGTCACTGATGGAAAAAACGATTCTCCAAAAACTGTGATTCATGAGATACCTCTCTCAAAACTGTTGAAACAGAATTTCTGTGGGAAGAATGATGGAAGGAAAGAAGTATATATTGTATGTAATCTGCTGTCCATTCACAATCTAGCACACCCTTAATGCAGCCATCCATGCCGTAGGATACTGCTAGGCATACGGATCTGTCCCCTGTGCACACATGTGTTACGTACAAATGCACACAATCACTTTCAATGGAATGCATTCATGGGGAAAATCTCTCACAGTTCCTTTCTTTTCACACCATCAGAATTTTGGGGAAGAATATACTGCAGAGAAATGTTGTATAAATATTTCTTTGAAATGTTGCTGTTGTAGATGCAGGTAACACTTGCTTAGTTTTTCCAATATCCTTTTAGTTCCAACATTTATATTTGAGAATGAAAAAAAAATCAGATTAGTGCATAAATTTGCTGTTGAATACATATCACAACAATCATTTTCTTATCTACGTATTGTGAGAATTTCAGCTCTCCTCGCCACTTGTGACTGCTCTGATTGTTGCTAGGCACTGCCGTACATACTGCAGGATATACATCCAACCGTTGACAGTCTGACATAATTCTGGTGTAGGCCTGACTCTTCTGAGTGTTGTGAATAATGTGACAGCTGGCCCTGTCCAGCAGTGTGTATTAGGATGCATTTCGGTTAATTCATTTGATTGGATGTAGGATTCATAGCGGTTTAACAGATGGGAAGAAATACTTTATTGGCTTCTTATTTTGGTGCCTGACACCTCTATATTCAGAATCATGTTTAGAAAAGAGAAAGGGGCTACTAGTTCTGGATCACCAACAGAGAAAATATCCCTTGCACCTGTTACTGAGGAAATGCCACGTTTGTGGTGTCTCTAAATCCCTGAAGGTAAGAAAACAACTACCCATCCACAGTGTCTGAAAACTGTTAAAGCTGGCATTATGGCTGCTGTCAGGTTTTGCACAGTACATGGAATGTTTGATTCCCGGTGATCTCAGTCTCTCACATCAGAGAGACTAACCTAAAGTTAGTTCTAAAGTTATCTCTAAAGTTATGGCTTAAAAATACATAAATGCATCCTTCTTTAATTTTAAGGCTTTTATGCCTCTGCTCAAATATTCCAGAGGCAATTATGTGTTGCATTGTGGCAGATTTAGCTCATCACCTGACTGTTGCTTCTGTCTTAGGATCATCACCACTTGCCTCGTTTATTCTCCCACAGCAGAGATTGCAGCCCCATCATATTAGACCGGGACGTTGTCAGAGTCCTGTTGTGTGCCCAGGCTGGTGCAGACACGAGGCATGCCTCCCAGCTGTGCCAGCCAAGCGCACCTGGGGCTATGCGAGAGGTCTGGTTAACTCCAGTGACACTCAAGGAAATCGAGTGGTTGCCAGGAACGTGTCACTCGAGCAGGTAATCCCGTAGCATTGGCCACAGTGCACTTGCTGCTATTCTGGCTTCTACTGTGTTGTGATTACAGATACCGCATCCTGCTTCCGAGTGTGCACACAGCCAATTACTGCCTACCAGTCGAGGAACTTGTTAAAAGTGTCGTATCTTGTTCCCTTGTGATAGGCTGTCTTCCTTAACAGAGAAATAGAAATCAAATTTTAAATAGTATCTTCTTTCCCCCCCAACCCTCAAAAAAGGCTGATATACAACTTTAGTCAATGTGATGTCTTTATCTCAGTGAAAATGTCTTTGACAAGTGTGTGGTGGTTTGTTTTTTTAAAGCAAGATCTGCAGATACGTGGGCTAAGGAGGGCTAAGAACCTTATTTTACTCCCTTATAGTCCTGATTCATAAAATATTCACTCCTGTGTCATATGATCTAGGACAGCCATGGACTGCTTTACTCCACTGCTGTTGAGATGAGAGATCTGACCTCTCTTTCCAGTAAGGCAGGAGGGAAACTGGTCAGAAAATACAGGTCCATGAAGAATAAACACAAATATCAATGTAAGTTAATTTTTTTCCATTGGTACACCAAAACATCTGAAATTGCTCCTCAGAAACAGTATTTTGTGCATTGTTAC